AATAATGTATAAACACTACCTTACATATTTTTATGGAGATGGCGAGAATAATTCCTGTACTGTATCATTGCCCGCAGTTGTTGATGTGCGAGGTCTCCAATATGTGAGGTCAATTTTGCTACTGTAATGCAAATATTCACAAAATCTCAACAAATATCTGTAATGGCGTCTCATGACTCGATATGAAAATAGCTTAGTCGCTAAAGTATATCAAATACGCTAAGCTTGATTTATGAAAACTCCTGGCCAACATAAAAAAAATCAAATTAAAAAAAAATATATAAATTATAATCCATTAAAACCTCAATAAAGAAATTAGTTTCATGTTTATGTTTTAAATTCATGAAGAAATAACATTTATTTTCCTGTCGATTTACATTTTGAAACATAACTAGAAAATCGAATGAGGGCGAAAATTACAAAAACGTAGACTATCCTCAAACGTCCATCCCACATATCCATAACTTAAGAGACAAGAAAACTAACCCTATCGCGTTTATCTAAGTCGGAGCTCCACAGAGAAAATGAAAGAGACAGGAGAGACTTCACTAACTTTTCGATTTCTTTCTGACGATTCGGGGAGTCTTTCTCCTTGTAATGTCTGAAATAATTACGGCGAGGAAGGTTAATGCCACACTTACATCGACACCTTCCGAAGACGAGAGAGGGAGGTATGGGGTGGGGTGAGGGAGGGTGAGGGAGGGTGAGGGAGGATGTTGGGGAGGGAAGGAAGGAGTCAAGGATGGAAGGTGAGGAAGGGAAGAAGATAAATAAAGGAAGGTTTGAGAAGCTGGTAATCATCTCACAGCTGCTGGTATTTCACGAACCCGATGAGGCGGAAGAGAAAGAGGAGGAAAAGGATAAAGAGGGGGAAGAGGAGGAAGAAGAGGAAGGAAAAAGAACGATGTATGTATTGTTAAGGACTGGTGATCCTAGATTGTGTCAAACCATAGTTCACCACTCCGGTAACAGTAAAAAATAACAAGGTCGCCAAGGAAATTAATAAATGAAAGGAATAAGCAATACACTAAGAGTAAATTAAAATACAAATTAATTTAACAAAAGAAATAAAGTATCTGACAAGTACCAACAAACGAATCAAAAGTTAAGTTTACAAGTATTAACCGATTTGGGAATATTCACAGCACAGCAGACAAACAAGTTACGTTTATCATAATTACAGTGACAAGTGAGCAAACAATAACGAGGGTCGGGGTACACCAACCAATACAATACAAAGACGATTAGATAACGCCACCGTTCTTTTACCAGTATATTGTTACGAAATTTCAAGCCTAGTACACCATAGTATATCCTACAAACAATATTACATCCTATACAAAGAAAATATAATAGCCTATTCCTCCACTTTCCTTGACTCACACACTCTCAACAACATAATGTATACTCAAGTTAAGGTCTTTGCTATGTGTTGAACTCCTTCCACCGTTTCCACCTTCCTCAGCCATGTCAAACCTGCTCCTTCTCTATCCAGTGTACTATGGTCACCACATCGCTTTTTGGCGGGAATCTACAACCAATGAGGAATCAGTTTTCCAGTAGCGCCATGGAACGTCACCTCTGACGTTTCAGCCGGCTTCTCACGTTCCATGACCACGTGGTCTCGGAAGGTTTGATGTGGTTCTTGCGGTAGTTTCTAATTGCTGGTTTCTACTCCCGGGACTCAACGTAACGTCACAGTATGTATGTATGTATGTATGTATGTATGTTTGTATGTATGTATGTGTGTATATATGTGTGTGTGTGTGTGTATGTGTGCTAAGGTCTGTGTTGGGAGTAAAAATGTGAGATTTATATAAGTCAATCTTTTTCTAGTATCAACGTCACTTCTCAAAGCATAATATTGGACATGTTATGAGAAATCATCGCCGAGTCTCAACAAAACATGACTAAACGTTTTCTATCGCAAACTTTTTCTGTCGTATAAGCGTTTGTGTGCTAAACTTAAAGCTTAATGTATAGAGAAAAGTATTTGCAAGTAGAATTTATATTATCATTAAAAGATATAATTTACATAAGTAGGAAAAAAACATTTATATTCCTGAGGGAGGAAAGAGTTAGGACACTACAGGAAAAAATATAGTATATATGATATGATTTTCTTATTTCGTCAGCGTTTGTTTACATTTCTACTTAAATGGAAATGTTTAAGTTACCAATGGAGATTTAATTTACGGGTCTTATTATTATTAACTGAGTAAACAATGCTCTAATTAGTGAATCTAAATGCGGGTGTGATGGACCCTTGTCAACAGGAAACAAGTTGTGTCCGACCTCATTGTAATCAAAGTATAAAGTATTGAATAATGAAAAGCTAATTACATAAGCAGCTTTTACTTTCGCAAGGCTTTTTTTTTCTTACAAAGATAAACGGATCACCTGGGATTATTCACAGCTGTTTATTTCACCTGAAGATTAACCACTTTAACGTTACCTTGGGGTATAATGCTAGGTTAGGTTAGGATTCTCCCTAGTCCCTATACCATAAAATAAACCGCGAGTTAGTACTGTACGTGCTGTTGCTTTTAACTGATCTCGGGAAATATTTCTAATCATCACGTCAACATCCAGACAATACTCAGGTGTTAACTGCTTCCAACACGACGAAAACCAAACAACAGAACAACGTAGTGTGAGGTAGTGTGAGGTAGCAAGAGGTGCGTGAGGAGTTTGTTGACGTAGGTTGTCATGTCGCCCCATCTATTGAATCTTTTCGGTTTCATGTTTTTTGGATGTAGTTTCCTTCCATTAATCTACAGTATGTGGGAATGAAGGCTTGACACCTCCTTCCTACCTATTGTATTAGTATATGTGGGAAGGGGAAGTACTGATTGACACTTCTTTTCCACCAATTGTATTAATGTATGTGGGAAGGGGAAGGGTGTTGGATACCCTCTCCCTCCTAATTTGGTCTTCCTTCTTCCGCCCTCGATAAAATCTAATTCAGAAATAAATATAAAGGAGTATTGAATGTACCAGTATTTACTTCAGTTCACTGCAAATAAACCACACGGGAGCTTAGCTTATGTGATTTAGAGTGAGTGAAGATATTGGTGTTTGGTGAGATTCAACTGGAGGTGTGAGTGAGTTTCATTCCATTCTCCAGCCACGTAGAACAAAGATTTGCCCGTGCTGTGTGCTGTGGGCCTCAGATCGACCTGCTGTGTTTGTACCTGTAACTAATTCAACTTACCTTGCTGGTCTTGAGGTCACTTCATCGTAAACTGAATCTATCAACGAGTCCAAACGTTTCTTCCTCTCAAAGAACCGCCCCAAGCCTTCTATTCAGTATGCACCAGGAATTTTTCATCATTCAGGAATTACCGTAGTCTACCCCTCAGCTGGTACATCCGTTTTCTCTATCATATAAACTTCCAAGAGTTAAGTCGAGGTAATTCAATTTTCGTTTTTTTTTCTTTTTCTGTTGGTTTATTCTATTATATTACACACCAGTTTTATCTTCTATTTTCATATATATTTTTGATCTCGTGATTATTATCCTTTCAGCTTATCTCACCTGATGATTAAACACCCTAACGTTACCTTGGGGGGTTAGGTTAGCGTTACGGTGATTAATTTATTGTTTATCATTTTATTACTAAACAAATTAAATTATTCTTAGTTTACACCCCTCTCTCTCTCTCTCTCTCTCTCTCTCTCCACCACGTCAGGTCCCCACGATTCCATTAAGATATGTTTCTGTGTATCGTCGAGGCGGAGACAAAAACGACCCTCGGCTTAACATCTTGGCGAGGTCTGCCATCATCACGGAGGAGGGAGATGTTTATCGTCCCTCAGACATCCTCACACTAATGCCGAGACTCCGTTGTAATTACCCGGATAAACTGGTGTGTGTTTGAGCCTCTGTATGTCTACCTGTATATGCAAATGTGATTACCTTTTTTTGTGTGTGTGTCGTCTTCTACACTTCGAGTTTCTCTCTCTCTCTCTCTCTCTCTCTCTCTCTCTCTCAATCGTAAGTCAAGGCGTTAACGATCCAACGCCTTCCCTAATGTGCTTATGTAAGTTCAAAACCACTATTAACATTGTTAAGTCAACGCGGCCTCACGTAAGGTGTTAAGAAGATTTTTTTTAAGTGTGTTTATAAATATCTTCCACTTAGCGGCCTCTACAGATGTCAGGTCACGTACCTCCCCAACCTATCGTGGCCTCCTCCCGACTTACAGCATCCATCTCAGTGACCTACAGTGGCCACCTCCCCGACCTACGGTGATCACCTCCCAGACTTACAGTGGCCACCTCAGTGACCTACAGTGGCCACCTCCCCAACCTACGGTGATCACCTCCCCGACTTACAGTGGCCACTCTGTGTTGAGAGACTTGACGAGTACCACATTCACCACAGTCATATCACTAGGGTCCAAAACCTTTAGTTATTGTTGATCCACATTTCCATCACATTATTATTATTTTTATTTTATTCATCTTGGTGGATTTTCATACAATATTATTTTCTTAGTCAATTCATGGGATCTTATATTTTCTCTTGTGGAAATGACTATCTTACGTTACGATCCCCTGAGAGTCTATTGTATATCCACGATTGTATTATATATGTAACCCTCCCTCACCGAATCCCCGATCCAGTTCGCAAACAAAGCAATTTTCAGGACATCAGAGGTTGTGTTGTTGTCAGCTGAAGGGTGAAGACAAGAACACAAGAACCAACTTTGTATTAGTATCTGGATATTTATCTCAGCCGGTGGCCATTATACTGAACATATTATGAACCAAGTGCCACCCCCCTCCCTTCCTTCCCTGCCTCAAGTGCCTCAAGTGCCACCCCGCCCTTCTCTCTGCTGGCAGCGATGACATCGTTTATCTAACTACCAGTTGTTCATTGTTACTCGACAACCAAAACACTGATGGCCGTCTCTCTCTCTCTCTCTCTCTCATCATCTGAATTTCATATCCATTTAACATTTCTTTTCGAGTCATAAATAAAGAAAACCATTACATTCGATTTAGTATTTACTCTAAACTCTCATTTAATTTTGCTGGAATACATTAATAAAATACTAAATTATGTAGGTAATAGAGTGTGTTCCCATTAATCCTGTGTTCTTTGGGAATAAAAAAAAACAGAGCTGCAGTAAAAGATAACAATAACAACAGCTGGCTCTTATATGATACCAAAACCAAGGAAAGTTTTTTATTTTTTTTTATACATTTTGGTGAGGAATAAATTCTTCTTCTCTATACATTTAGATAATTTACTCAACCAATAGAGTAATTCATTGATGATTGTAGTTCCCTTTACACGTCGTCTTATCAAATTAATCATCATCATTATCATCATCATCGTTATCATCATCTGCATCACCTTCAGAACATAAGTGAAAAAAAAGTGAGGGAAAGTGAGAAAGACGAACCTGAGAGAGGCGAGGAAAATGAAGGAGGTAAGGAAGAGGAAGAGGAGGATGGTGAAGAAAATGAAGAAGATGATGAATAAAGTGAGGAAAAATAAGAGGAAAAAGAAAAATAAGAAGCGAGGAAGATGAAAAAGGAGAGGTTACTAAACATTGAACGCACAAGTCTCGTCCCACACCAACACATTCGTATGACCCGTCTTGACCTCCGTGTAATCGTGGCCTGGGGTACACAAGTCCTTCTGGTGGTCAATGCGGTTCCTGGGGTGAGAGAGAAGGATTATGTTGGCAATACTCTTCTTTCCATCTTAACTTCTATTAACGTAATGATAATAGTCCGTAAATAATGGAACCTGTTATTAATGTCTATCTTTTGTACTATAACTTGTTAGTATTATGACCCGTAATTAAGGCTTTTATTTGTACCATAACTTGTGAACGTAAAGCTGATTATACACATTTGATTATTTTACAATATCATGATAATTTAAAAATTATATATTGGAATTTATTTTTATATTTCAATTAGTAGGAATTAATGTGTATATATTTTTCTGAAGTTACCTTAATCTGGAGCCATCATAGTAAACAGCGGTATTACAGTACTGTTGGTGTGTGTGTGTGTGTATGAGGTATACATTATCTCTCATTGTGCATTGAATTCTTCACAGCTGGAATCTGGATGTGCGTATACATTCATGCATAATTGTATGATTCATTTGTATTATTCATCTTCGTGAAGTATATCATATATCTGTGTATACTGGTGTGTATTATATACATAGTGTATAAATGGGTCTGTATACTTACACCTCGGGGGTATATTCCATGGAAGATATGCGGATAGAGCGGATATATAGAGTTCGGTTACAGAGCATCATGAAACAGTAGGAACCTGGATCGTAAAGCGTAGCATCGTAAGCCCAGTGAACCTCCATACGAATCACCCTTGAGACGTCAATGTGGCTGGTGAACATGAAGTACTTGGGCTGGCCGTGGTCAAACCTCTCGTGATTCCTGAGGTGAGGGAAGAGACGAGGTGATGTTTGGGTGTTTATACGTCATTTGAACTTTTCTCAAGATGGTGTTGTAATGCTTAAAACATCATCCTCAATTTATTTTATCTGAGGATCACATTTTAAACTAACCTAACCTAAACAAACCTGACCTAATCAAACTTAACCTAATCAAACCTAAACTAACCAAACCTAACCTAACCAAACCTAACCTAACCTAACCTAACCTATTCAAACCTAAATTAGTAAACCTTACCTAACCAGGCCTAATCTAACCTAACCAAATATAACTTAACCCAACTTCAAATTTATATTATAAATATATATTGACACTTTTCTGTTCAAGGCAAATTTAATTATAAAAAAAAACTAAATATTTGGGTGCCAATTAATTTATAAAATCTTTCACGTGGTATATGAAATCGAAATTGAATGGCAACACTGTCAGCTACAGCTTTTGAAGAACGATATTATAATCTCTGAGAGCACGTAAAGTTAAATTATCGTCATTGTTACCATACAGACAACAACTCTCTCTCTCTCTCTCTCTCTCTCTCTCTCTCTCTCTCTCTACTTACTTGGTGAGCCTAACTTTATCAATGCTGTTACCGTTGTCACCATACAGCCAGACATCCAAGTGACCTTGAACCCAATCCTCTGCCTTCTTTGGGTGAGCTGTGTCTACTATCAACTGGTAGTGGTAGTCTGGGGATGGTAGAAAGAAGGTGGTAGTAAGAGGGGAGCAGTGATGGTGGTAGTTAGAGGGGAGCAGTGATGGTGGTAGTAAATTAATAAGTGGGAAGGAGTGATGGTGATAGTTAGAGGGAAGCAGTAGTGGTGGTAGTTACATTTAGCATTAGTTAAGGACAATTATTCATTGGGTAATAAACCACAAGTGTTCCCATTAATTCAAATAAACAACAATATATATTTGCAATCATTCAACTGTAACGTAATGTATAGAACATCTTAAAATGTATATAGCCTTAAGAAATATACACAAATAGATCAAATATACAGGATAGATTATTCAGAGGAGGAGAATACACTCAAGAATTCTTTCCTTGAGATATTCATTGTGTATATTTTGTATTAAAGTGTCAATACATTTTTTTTAAGAGATATGGTATTAATGCACAGTGTATATGCATTTTTGAGACGCTTTTTGAATGTATGTAATATTTATATGTATGTATGTATGTATGTATGTATGTATGTATGTATGTATGGACATATGGAAAGACAGAGAGAAACAGTATAAAGACAGAAAGATTTAAAGAGAGTGGGTGGGACAGACAGATAAACAGAGACACATGACGAGAAGGACAGACCGACAGACAGAAAGAGACGGGATACTCACAACAATAGGGAGAGACTTTATCAGTATCGAAGTACATCCTGACGTTCACGCGGTCCTTGTGTGTGTACTCGTCAGCGTGTATACCCATGTGTGCACACTTGGAGTTATCGTCATTACAGGTAGCACACCGACCCTAGGGAGTGACGTCAACAGATCACACACTCGTTTAAAATGTCAATGAAGATGGTGAATGAACGAACAGTAGTGACATAACGTCGAGTTAAGACAGAGGACCACAGCACTAACCAGTTCGAAGGAGTCGTAGTCAAAACACTCGTGGGCGGTGTAGGGGCATGGCTCGTAGAGGGAGTCAGTGTACAGCTTGTAGGCTCTCCCGTGGCTGCAGGCGACCAGGTCTCGTACACCGTCGGGTATATCGGTAATAAACTCGAGGGCGATGGTGACGGGGATACATCCAGGTTGGTCGTGACCCGAGTTGGGGTAGAAGTCTACATTACCCATGGCTTGTTCTGTGCCGTAACCCAACATGAGGATGCTGTCGGCGTCAGTGTGGATGTTGTCGACGTACACTGCATCTGTGTCGTCGAGTCGAATAAAAGAAGGCGTGCTGGTATAGTAAGGGCCGGCTGGGTCGAGGCCTGATATGCGGCCGAGATTTTTTATCTTCTCGCCAGCATAACCCGAAACGTGAGACCCAAGGGAATGGCCGAGAAGGTGTACATTAGCGGGGTCGACACCGTACTCGCTGATGAAGAAATTGACGAGGTAGGCGATCTCCAGCCCCACCACGCGGGTGTTGGCAGTCGCCTGGAAGTACATGGGCAAGGAGCCGTCACCCCAGTTCACTCGGATCACGTTGTAGTCACCGTAGCTGAGGAAAGCCTTGGCCATGTCCTGCCACAAGGAGTAAACACACAGCTTCAGCCTTATTACTTGTGTAGGTAATGGGTGATAATTATTTTGCTATTATACGGCAGCCAGCACTATAACACTCTCATCCCGGTAACCATTATACACATGACTTGACAATTTAACCGGATTAACCTAACCTATTCTATCTTAATCTAACCTAATCTACACCTAACCTGACATAACCAGACTAACCCAACCCATTTTACCCAATCTAACTTGACCAAATTAAACCCATAAACATCCATTTTAATTCACCTTGTAGTCAGCGAGTACAACTAAAACTATCAGCTTAATGTTTTCACCACGAGCGCCTTTTGTACTTGCAGGAAACGCTAATCTCTTCCTGTTAAATGTAGATAATGAGGTGTGTGTGTGTGTGTGTGTGTGTGTGTGTGTGTGTGTGTGTGTGTGTGTGTGTGTGTGTGTCTAATGAACGAAAAACGGTGTACAGTACAATTTAACCATCGTGGAAGTTGTGATTCACTTTACACGAGTCAATACAAATTTAAGACTACATTACCACACACATGACCTCACTATGACCTGACCTTAAGCCAGACAGTGTTGCCTGTGTCGATAAAACCATGGCAGATGATCTTGATGGGCTTGGCTGGGTCAAAGGTTGTAGCATCAATCGCATCCTTGTCAGCACTGATGTAGAATTTCTGACAGAAGGAATACGAGGTCAGGAAAGAGTGCTTTATGAACAATGCTACAAAATAGATGCACAAACGAAAGAGAACTAGACTTTTTACCATTTAATCTACTTATTGGAAAACAATGATGGAAAAATATAGGTCACCTAGCTTGATTTTTGTAAACACATGTTGAAAATATAGCCTTTTTGTCCTCGTGGGAAACATTTGGGCTCGAATTATGCCATTTTTACATTAACAGTCAGTTTATATTGAAAATTTGATCTTGTAAGTATTCTGCAATGAAAACTGCACTTACCTATGCAAATTTACAACACTATATAAATCTATTGGCCAAACGGTTAAATTGTCAGCTCTTTACTCGATTTTTTTTTGGGGGGGAGAGGTAGAAAATATTGAGTTCCGAGGCTGTTTTTTTTTTTCTACGATAGATATTAACACCAAAATATTTTAAAGCCTTTTGATCTATATATATGCACCAAGTATAAAATGAGCAAGACTGATGATATGTTACCAGACTTTATGAAAATATATGAAAATATTTACCTTTACCCCCATTATTTATACATCAAGCCAATGATGGTGAAATACTGTAATGGCACATACACCCATAGCAACACTGTCAGAGTCTACAGACAAACAGCTCAGCGTGAACAGTAGTATATATTAAAAGACTATGTAGCAGTTAATGCCACAGATTGTACGCCTGGAAAATGAGCAGCGGTTGTCTCCAGGTTTAAGTACAAGGTCAAGGAGGAAGGTTTAAATACTGTACAAGGTCAAGGAGGAAGGTTTGAATACTGTACAAGGTCAAGGAGGAAGGTTTAAATACTGTACAAGGTCAAGGAGGAAGGTTTAAATACTGTACAAGGTCAAGGAGGAAGGTTTGAATACTGTACAAGGTCAAGGAGGAAGGTTTAAATACTGTACAAGGTCAAGGAGGAAGGTTTGAATACTGTACAAGGTCAAGGAGGAAGGTTTAAATACTGTACAAGGTCAAGGAGGAAGGTTTGAATACTGTACAAGGTCAAGGAGGAAGGTTGTACAAGGTCTTGCTTTATATAAGGGTTCACTGTCTTATTACCACTCAAGGGAAAGTAAATTGAGCTGTAGGAATGCATTCAAGGAGAACACTCAAGATTTAGGGTCACACTGTAAGGAAAAAGGTCATACTCGCACAGATTGATCTCTAGCACACACCCCCGGCACTTGGTTCTCTGTCATACTGGGCTCTAAGAAAATCCCACTACCTCAGATTCAGCTGGTTCGGCTCGGGTGTGCAGGAGGAAGCGGGTGTTGATATGTGCTCTGGTGAGAGGAAGAACATTAATGGGCCTGGTAGTCGTGTACCAGTCATTATTTAGATCCAAGCAACCCAACACGTCATCACACCACTCCGTACCTGTAGCTGGATGTGAGAAGGAGAGTCAAGAGGTCAAAAAAGGTCATCGAGATAGGTCATGCAAAACGAATAAAAAAAGTTAATGAAACATACATCAGAAAAGGTAGATTAAAAGAAGTATTTTTTTTTTTGGGGTGGGGGGGATTAAGAGAGGCTCGGGAACTGGCTGCCCATTCATCTTTGTTAATGTTTTTAGTCATGGCATCGTTGTTGTGATGGTTCTTGGGGCTGGAAACTTTCAATAAAGGTATCACCGTTTGTTTACGGGATAGTGTTGCTTATATTAACTCCCATGGGATTGATGTTTGTGTGGGATGCATTGCTATTCGTTGACACCCTCTCGAGTGGTTAAATGGTGGTGTTTATGTTAACTGGGAAGATATAGGAATACACACACACACACACACACACACACACACACACAAACACAGAAAACTTTCAGACAGACATGCAAACAAACCGACAGACAAACAGACAGACAATACAAAGGAGACTTCTGTCCATAGTTCGACTGGTAAAAAACGAAAGCAAAACCCGTCACTCAAATAAAATATAATATAGGATCACCTGAGATTAAACGCTCGTTTTTTTTTTTTCACTTGGAGACACACCATCCAAGAGAAGGGAGGGAGAGAACGTATCGTGAGGGAAGGAATCTAGGTGTGTGGTGTGAGAGGGGTGGCGAAGGAGGGGGTGTAGGTGAGGGACGGAGGGAGTGTGTGGTACTGAGAGGGGAGATGATGGAAGGAGTGTGTGTGATGTAAGAGGAGTGGTGAGGGAGGGAATGTGTGTGTGATGGTGTGTGTGGTGTGAGGGGAGTAGAGAGACGGAGTGTGTGCTGGTAGAGGCTGAGGAGCAACACCTGTACACACTCCCACAGGTAAAACCCAACACCAGCGGCTACAATAAACATTCGTGCTGATAGGTCGTCTATGAACTTCTTCACCCAAGAACCACCACATGCTGTGATTATACAGATTCTTGTACGTAGTAGATAAATAGACTCGTTGTATACATAATTATATGCAGTATACTGTATACAGAAGTATTATCCATCATTGAAGTTATTTTTTGGAAATTTCATCTGATTACACAATAGACGTTTTCCTTTCATCTATTTTTACACACACACACACACACACACACACACACACACACACACACATACATTTCCCATAACAGCTTTAAACACCTGATATAATCTTTTTAAGCAAGGATTTATTTTTGTATGAGAATTCAATACAGGTTCAATGTGATCTGATGCGTTCAATTGTTTATAATTTCAAATTTACGATGTTTTTATTTTAAGTTCCTGAATGATCTTTTTTTTCAGATTCGTTTCTATATTTTTGTTATGGATTCTTTTCAACAAATAGAAGTAATATCAAGAATCGTTTGTTTCTATAATACATAATAAATGTTATTGTCTGAAACCGTATACATGCTGCCTTCTGTAATACACTGTATATGCTGTTTTAATGTAATATGTATATGCTGTGTTTTGCATAGCGTCTCCTGTAATAAAAAAAAATTGCTTCTTTAACTTGGCTGAATGACATCTTACCCGTGTCGCTGGTTTGATTAAGAGGTAGGTTGCCACTCCTCTACTCTTCTGACCCGTCTTAAAGAACCCCTGGCACTTAATTGGCCATTCGTTCAAATCGACGACTTGAGTGACCTATTAATTCGTCCGATAAACCGTTTCGTAATTTTATAGTATGAAGGTCACATCATCGGATTAGTTGGTACTTATTCACTCATTTGTCTTGGTTCAGACCTTGGTAGGCATTTAAATAATCTCTTGGTCTGGCCGAGAATCTGGTTGGCACTTACATGAACCTTTGATCTGGTTGAAGGGCTGTACTGGTCATGCGTCATATTGTCCTTGGTCAGTCTAAACGGCTTCTTCGTCAAATCTTAGAGAAACACCGACCTACTCAGATTCCTAAGCAGGTCAATAGGTCAGCTGACTTGCGTGACCTGTTCATCAAACCTAAGAAAGGGTTGTGACTTACTCAGCCTCTTGGTTAGGTCTACTACTTCAGCGGATTTACCTGACCTCTTCGTTAGGTGGAGTGAAAAATTACTTACACGAACTCTTAATCAGATCAACTGGATTACTACTCCTCCAAGCAGGAACAACAGCAGCAGAGACGGTCTCCAGCACCATCACCGCCGCCACCCACACAACGACAACCTTCATGGTAACGAATTATTCTCCGGATGATCCAGCAACACTCATTACTCGCTGCCACCAACTTATGTGTCTTTTAGCTGCTCCGCCGCCTTTTATACTCAAGACATTATCGTGAGGGGCAACGTTCAGTGCCAGCTTGTGCAAGTCGCGGGAAAGAGAGAGAGAGAGAGAGAAAGAGAGAGAGAGAGAGAGAGAGAGAGGGATGATGCCTTTCTCTATGACGACTGTTTCTCATGTGTCCTAGTCTTGTTTCTTCTATCTCTCTCTCTCTCTCTCTCTCTCTCTCTCTCTTCCTACAGCTACAAATCTGATAATCCCGGTGCATCTACAGTCTTAGCTCACTGGTCGCTGGGTGAGCTTGACTTACTGACAGCTCAGAGAATATTGAAGAAGTCAGCCAGTGTCCGTACAGTCCATTAGGCGCTATCACACGCAGAGATAAAATACTGTACCAGGGTGTCTCAGAAAAATATACACACCCACAACCTTACAGATTCTAGTGAAAATTGCTTGAATGCTTCTATTATAAAAATATCATCGTCCTCACTTGTAGGAGACTTTGAACATCAACAAGTGAGGAGAGTTTTGATGTGGTAATACAAACAAACATTCAGGCGAACTGTACGAAAATCAGTAAGGCAGAAGGTATACATTGTTTGAGACACTTTGTACATCCGTAATTCTTAAATCAAGTCGAACACATACCTGTAGATTAAAAAAAATGTTAAAAAAATAAATAAAAAATAACTTCTTTATACACTCACGCTGAGACAGTGAGAAAAATAATTGTAACGAAATTTATAAAAAAAAATATCGTTCCATCGCAATACCACTGCGAGGATATAGTTAACGACATGTGTTTTAGTACTTGTTAAAGACTTTGCTTATAAGAAGATGATAACTCGTCTACACAAGAACAAAACCATAAGCAATTGTTAAAATACCTTCATGTATAAGGAACTTCAAGCTTAAGAACGTAAAATGGTGTGAAAACAATAAATATATACGAATCCAATGTGAAGAACGCAATACGTGTTGAAACCATCCTGCACAGTACCGACACTCCCCTCTGTGACCAACAACAGCTGGCTGCCTCTACTGGGTATATGATGAAACCAGACTACGACAACCCACCTCCCTGCTGTCTTGTCCTACCTCTCAGCCTTGTCAGCAGTACATCATGACAACATGCGTCTCATCTCGTCTACCGGAAACAACCGCATAAAAAAAATTTCAAATTATATAAAGGAATTCATGAGGGTGTGGGGGTGAGGGGGTAGGGGGGGTGTTGGGGTGAGGAGGTTATATTATGACATTTCTTGAAGGTAGTCAACAGAAACACCTGGATACTTCTCACCTGTAGAGAAAAACTGGATCTTGTCTCTGAGAGAATTGAAGATAAAATATCTTATCTTACGTGAGTTTATCTCTGTCTTTGTGTAAGTAAACAATGTACTGATAAAAATAGTGATGGTTAGAAATCCTATTAAGTTTGAAACGTAAAGGTTGAAGATGATGGTGGTTAGGTTAGGTTAGGTTAGGTTAGGTTATAGATGGATTTACATTTGTTTAGTAAGAGAGAATATGTAAGAAATACGCTGAGGTATACTTAGATTATTCTTGACTTTATAATGTAAACTAAGGAACATTTTTTTGGCGACGCTTATTGGTTGTAAACTCAGCAGCATCGTTAGGGTAGTTCATCTTACTGTGAAATAAACCGAGGGCTAATCTACAGGTACTCCAATGATGGTGACGTGAAAGCTAAGGTATATATTTCTTCAACCAGTTACGGTATAATTAAACGTTACCTTTATCCTGGAGACGTGAGTAAACAGGTAGGTGACGTTATCAGAAAAGTAGGAATACATTAATGGGAGATTCTTCACCTGTCTGTACCTCCCGTCTCTCTCTCTCAACTTCACAAGGTCAAGTTCTAAGAATTCTACCATTTTCATATGTCTAGATAACACTCTTTAGGGATGAAACTTCGTAACTGACAGCAAGGTGTTGGCCAGATAGGGATAACTTCCTTTTTTTCATTTCTAAAATTTAACGGATATTAGTTTATAAAGTAAGATTTGTTTTCTTTAAGAGTTCGTATATTATCATAGCATACTCTATGTCGTCACCAAAGGGTTAAATCTGTTCTCAGAGGGTTGATCAATCTTCCTCAAAGGGTTAAACCATCTTCCTCAAAGGATTACTCAATCTTCCTCAAAGGCTTAAACCAACTTCCTCAAAGGGTTAAACAATCTTCCTCAAAGGCTTAAACCAACTTCCTCAAAGGGTTAAACAATCTTCCCCAAAGGGTAAAACCATCATCATGAAAGTATTAACCCATCGCTCTCAAAGGTCTAAACCATCCTCTCAAAAAAAGGATTAAATCATTGTCATCAAACGACCAAAAACCAACATCATTTTAACAATTAATACAACCATTAGATTCTTTTCTCCTTCCATTGTATTTTCCATCATCTAATTTTTATTCCCGTCTCTCTGATACCTGAAGCTTCCTGGTCTCATCTCCTCGAATACACAGCGTTAATTTTCCGGGCTGGGTCAGAGGTCAAGGTCAGAGCAGACTCATTTATCATGCTCCTGACCTCTAGTTATATTCGCTGGCAACATGACCTACTAGAAAGTCCTTAAGCATGGAATAGTCAGATGTAGGACGATATGAACAGGTGATTTTTTTTCTTCAAAACATAATTCATTATAGTTATAGGTATGATATGAAATGACGTAGTTGTTCAGGGTATGACTTGTGATGACATAGCTGTTAAGAGTATGATATGTGACGACGTAGTTGTTCAGGGTATGATATGTGATAGTATATTTGTTCAGGATATGATATATAAAAATTCACCTTAAAGACCAATTAAAAAAATATTTCCATCTTCACTTTCTTTAATTACATGACCACAAACATCAATAATTTCACTCTTTATTATTAGCTTTGTGTAATACTGTCTAGGGAGAGTCTGACACTTTCTTTCCTTCTTGGTCTACTCTTAAGTAATGGTTGATACACTTACTTAACTTATTGGTCAGGTCGAGAGGAATGCTACGTCTCCAGGCCGGCACAGCAGCAACCGTCCCTCCCACCAACACCATCACCACCACGACAACCTTCATAACGACGAAATATTCTCTGGATTAAACAGCAACAGTCGTCGTGCCTCTCTCGGTAATCATCGTTTGCCGGGTCAGGCAGCCTCGAGGTCTCTTATACTCAACTCTTTTATCACATTATGTAAAGAGCACCCAGGTGAGGCATGAGAGGGTAGTGAGGGGGGGTGGTCGTCGGGTGGTCGTGAGGGGGTAGTGAGAGGGTCGTCAGAGGGTCGTGAGGGGGTAGTGAGAGGGTCGTCAGAGGGTCGTGAGGGGGTAGTGAGAGGGTCGTCAGAGGGTCGTGAGGGGGTAGTGAGAGGGTCGTCAGAGGGTCGTGAGAGGGTAGTGAGAGGGTTATGATGGACTTGTGAGAGGGGCATGAAGGAGTCATTAGAGGATCGTGAGGCGTAAGAGGGTTGTAGAGGGATTGTGAAGGCGTCGTGAGGGGGTCGTTGGGGCTCATCAGAGGGGCATAGAGGGGTCGTGAGGGTTCGTGAGAAGGGCATGAAGTCATGAGAGGGTCGTGAGGTGTGACAGGGTCGTGTGTAAGCTTCTCAACCATTATCATTTCTTCTGTTATTCCTGTGACGTGTTTTTTTTAATGTCATCTCTGTTCTCCATATCTCTTTCTTATTTAACCAGAAAGGTTTTTTATGTCCACTAAATTCCTTGAAGATATAGAGGTGGGTTTTTTTTCATCTGTTTTAACCTGGGGATAATCAAATTAACCTTGCTCTAACTTAACATAAACTAACCTAACTTAATCTAGCCAAACCTAATACACTGTGCGCCAGGAGATGATACCGTACCAGGGTTGTGGTATACAGACTGAGAACCTGCAGCTAAGGTCCTTCTGTGAAAAGTTTGGGGCACCTTGTTTAGTGGACATAGGAACAGGGTCTTCTCTCGCTGTCTACAGGATCTAATATACTTCACCAGTGTACTCTAACGAAAGGATTACACTTAAGTTATTCCCCCTATGAGTGTTATGACGGTTTTCTCGGGCCATGATGAACTGACTAAGTTTGCAATATTTCCAGAGATCCTGTACGCAAAGAAACTCTATTGTGTTGATAGGAAGATTTTTGTTAATATTTAGTTTTGTCTTGGAATGTTCCAGGTGAGTGAACTCATTATCTTCACCAAACACAGATAATGACAGACCCTTATATCCGCCCTGCTTCATGTGTGGTCTGTGTTTACCCAAGAAAGTCAACTTCGCCAGGATTTCCTCAACCTGGCCCGTGTAGGAAGGAACTGGCCGTCATTATCAAGATTCTCAAATACTGATATTTTTTGTTTTTAAATTCTTAAACCAAAAAGACCCGAGAGTCCGCAACAGTACCCCTGGCAACAGTACCCCTGGCAATAGTACCCCTGGCAACAGTACCCCTGACAACAGTACCCCTGACAACAGTACCCCTGACAGCAGTACCCCTGACAACAGTACCCCAGACAACAGTACCCCAGACAACAGCATCGAGGCATCAGTTGAAATACACAACACCTGCAGCTGTCGATGCTAATTATATAAACAGGAACAGCGCTCGTCCCTAATTACTGACCCACCGACTAAACTTGGCGCCGCTGTACAATAACAATTAGACAACACAGTGTGAGGTGGGGATAGTGCCTTGTTGGCTGCATGACTCACACCCTTACTAGTGATAAAGAAAACGAGTCTACAGCAGGAGGGAGGGAGGAAGAGGACCCCCCTGCCTTGTGGGTAATGTGGTGTGCTGTGGACCTCATTATTATACCAACGAACCTTAAATTAATAACAAAAAATTTGTTATTCTAAATAATTCTAAAATTGATAAACAAGAATAACTTAACATTAACGCGATAACATAAAATATGTACATTATACTTATTTATACATGTAAACGTATACATACTGTATAATACTCTGCCAGTAAAAGAAAAATCTGAAGAAAAAAGTTAGAATTTCATTTTAAAATTCAGT